GTACAATGATTGAGATTTCTTTTGAGAGCCAATTTTTTTCAACTTAAACTATATAGGTAGGTACATTGTTATGAACTTAATCAGGATACTCCTAAGGCTTAGGAAGAGCCACACTCAAGGGGCCAAAGAGCCGCATGTGGCTCGCGAGCCGCAGTTTGCCGACCACGGCCCTAGAGATTCGTTTGGGGTGCTTTGTTTGGGGCCCTGAGGCCGTGCTGTGTCTCTGCCTGTGTTTGCTGCTGTCTCCTCCTGGATTTCCCCGCCTGTCCCACCATAAAGGAGATGAAGGTTCGAGCACGAGAGCACAGGATCCCTTCTTTCTTCCCGCCTCCTCCCCCTGCCCAGCTCCACACCCTTTTGGTTCAGAAGCTTCTGAAGAAGAGGGGCTTCCCATCCTGAGGTCCCTGCTTGCCCCTCCTTCCGAGATCACCCCCTGCCCCGGTGAGGATGCCTGGCAGAGAGGGGAGGGCCCTCCAAATTTGGTGCCCAGCTGCCCCAGGATGGGCAGGAAGGCCCTGAGCCTTCCAGTCCTGGCAGCAGTGGCCTGAGATGTGGCGGCCCCTGCAGGCAGATGCAGGAGCTGCAGCATCTGTGAGGCAATGACAGGTGGCTGCTGGGGCACTCAGTTCACCCAGGACACAGCCTCTCCAGCCAAAGGGACCACCACTTCCATTGTGTAAAGCTCCCAGAATACTGTAGCCCCCCTCCTTATCTGCGGTTTTATTTGCTGTGATTTCAGTTAGCTGCCGACTGAAAATATTAAATGGGAAATTCCTGGAATAAGCAATTCATGTTACAAATGCTGCGCCGTTCCGAGTAGCATAAGGGCATCTCGTGCCATCCTGCTCTGTCCTGGCTGGGATGTCCATCATCCTTTGTCCAGCGTATCCGCGCTGTTTATTCACTTAGTAACTGTCCGTTATCACATCCGCTGTCACAGGATCGCGGTGCTTCTGTTCAGGTCACCCTTATTTTACGTACTAATGACTCCAGAGCACAGCGCTATTGTGACTAATCTCTTACTGTGCCTGATTTACACATTAACTGTATCCGAGGTATTGTACGTGCATCCTCTGGAGGTCTTGGAACATATGCCCGCGGATGAGGGGGTCCACTTTATTTTTAATATAATAATAATAATATAAAGAAACAGGGCGACCGAGTTGTAGTATATTTTAAGTGTTTACTTGGAACGGGTAACGCTTTTGACACCTACACAGCAGTGTGACTGTGCTATTCACAAGGTAACAAATTAAAAAACGAAACGAACCACAGGGCACTGAAGGCTGGAGGTGGGGCACCTGGTTACCAGGTGTACCGGTTAATAAGGGGATTTTTTTCAGTAGATGGAGTTACACGTATGTTGATATATGTGCGATTTGATATGTACGCTATTCTGTTGTATTGACAGCAAGCTTCAAAACTTCACATGTCAAATTTTCTGAAGGTGTTAACATCATAGATATTTTTACACTTAAAAATGTCGAATTCCGTGCCCAAAAAAAGAGCATTTGTGGGAAGTTTTAACTCATTACTTTATTTTGAAGAAAAGGGCTGCTGAATACTTCGGGAAGCTTATGGTGAACATGCTCCATCTCAAGATACTTGTGAACGCTGGTGTAAACGCTTTAAAAGTGATGATCTTGATGTGAAAGACAAAGAACGTCCAGGTCAACCAAAAACGTTTGAAGACCAACAGTTACAAGCATTATGGGATGAAGATGCATGTCAAACTCAAAAACAACTTGCAGAAAGATTAAACGTTGCTCAGCAAGCAATTTCCGATCGTTTACAAGCAGCAGGAAAGATCTTAAAGAAAGGAAAATGGGTGCCACATCAACTGAACGAAGGACAAATGGAAAACCGAAAAGTCATCAGTAAAATGTTGCTTCAACAGCACGAAAGAAAATCTTTTTTGCATTGAATTGTGACTGGCAATGAAAAGTGGATTTATTTTAAGAATCCCAAACGCACAAAGTCATGGGTTTATCCAGGTCAACCAACAACATCGACTATAAGGCCAGATCACTTCGGAAAGAAGACAATGCTCTGTGTTTGGTGGGATCAGGAAGGCGGGGTGTATTATGAGCTTCTAAAACCAGGTGAAACCGTTAATACTGTTCGCTACTGACAACAAATAATCAATTTGTACCACACTTTGATCGTGAAATGACCAGAATGTGCCAGAAGACACGGCAAAGTAATTTTGCTTCATGATAGCACAATCACACACTTGAAAACCAGTTAAAGACACGTTAAAAGATCTTGCCTGGGAAGCATTAACCCACCCGCTGTATTCACCAGACCTTGCTCCTTCATATTCCCACTTGTTCCGATCGATGGCACATGCACTTTCTGAGCAGCACTTCAAAACGTACGAAGAAGTGGAAAATTGGGTCTCTAAATGGTTTGCCTCAAAACAAGAAAAGTTCTATTGGGGCGGTATCCACAAATTACCTGAAAGATGGGGGAATGTGTAGCTAGCGATGGACATTACTTTGAATAAAGCACTTCTGATGTTTCTCTTGAAATTATCGTGTTTTCTTTGATTACAAAATCCACATTATTAATCGGTACACCTGGCAAAGTTGTGAGTCTCATTTTTTTTTACCCCACCTGTGTTTTCCTGGATTGTATGTTAGTCTCATTTGAGAGAAGATCCAGACTTTAAATCTGAGGGGGCCATCGATGATGGTGGCATCCCAGTGTGGTCTGGCCATGGGGTCTCCATGCGTCTCTCCCCTTAGGCAGTCTGCAGGGGGAGGCAGGTGCCTGAATGTGCTTACTGAGTGGGATAGAGAGACCCCTGTGGTCAAGGTCGTGGACTTGGTCCCCGTGTGGGTCAGTTAGCTGTAGTCTGCACGCTGCCCCCTGCTGGTCATCACAGAAATGGGTGACACTAGTCTGGAATAGCCATTTTCAAGCCATGGGCTGGGGGTCCCCAACAGATTAGGGGGTCTACAAGATCGAAATTACTTTCATAATAATAATAAGGCATTTGGTCTCATTGTCTCGCAAATGTGAAGAGTTTATTGATATGGTTTCAGATGCCACATTAGAATTAATCTTTAAGAAATAACCAACTGTTGAGTTTTGGTGCCGTGTGAGAGATTAGCCACAATGACCTGGAAATGCGCCCCCCTTTCCAACCTTGGCACGTATCTGTGAGAGTCTGGCTTTCTTTCATGCACTTGAATAAAACCACATATCGCAAAAGATTGGATGAAAAAGCAGATGTGAGCACCCAGCTGGCTTTGTTAAGCCACCCATTACATAGGTTTGTAAAAATGTCAAACAATGCTATTAGTCTCACTCAGGGTTTTTGTTTTGAGAATAGTTATTTTTTTTAAATGAACATCTAATGGGGTTTTTATTTTTAATGAATTTTAAGTGTTTTCTCTGTCTAATATCTCATATTAAAAATATCAATAGATATAGCCCACATCACTTGGAGTCCTCAAGAATTTTTATAAAAATTTAATGAGATATAATTCTCATACCATAAAATTCACACTTTTCAAGGTGAAGTCAGTGGTTTTCGTGTATTCCACAAAGTTATGCAACCATCACCACTAACTCCAGAACATTTCCATCAAAAAGAAACCCCGCACCCCCTAGCAGTCATTCCCCACTCCTTCCCCCCACACCACCACCCAGTCCTGACAACTGCTAATCTACTCTTTGTCTCTAGGTTTGCGTGTTCTGAATAGTTCATATAAACAGAACCATACAATATGTAGTAATCTTTGTGCCTGGCTTCTTTGACTTAGATTAATGTTTTCAAGGTTTATCCGTGTTATGGCCAAATAGTATTCCATTGTTTGATAAGCCACTCTTTACTATTTTGTCAGTTGATGGACCTTTGAATTGTTGCCACTCTTTGGCTATTATGCATAATGCTGCCGTGAACATTCACGCGCAAGGTTTTGTGTGGATGTGTTTTTCAGTTCTCTTGGGCATATCCCTAGAAGTAGTTTCTGGGTCAGATGGTTTAACATTTGAGGAACTGCCAAGACTAATTTCCAACCTCAGTGATTTTTCAGAGTGTAAAGGAAGAAGTCCTGTGACTCTAGCCGGTTTGGCTCAGTGGACAGAGCCTGGGCCTGCGGACTGAAGGGTCCCGGGTTCAATCCCGGTCAAGGGCACATACCTCGGTTGCAGGCTTGGTCCCTGGCCCTGGTTGGGGCACATGCAGGATCTCTCTCCCATCACATCGGCGTTTAAAAAAAGAAAGAAGTCCTGTGTTTGAGAGCCACTGGGCTGGGTGGGATTGGACAGGGGAGTGTGACAGCTCAGCACAGCCCTGGTCTTTGCCCTGGGGTTCCTTCCCTCAAAAATGGCTCTCTCTTCTGTGCTCTCTCCCCTCTGACACATACCCTGGGTGGCAAAGAGAGAGCCGGTAGGCCAGGCTGCAGAAGGTAAGCCGCCAGGGAGTTCTGGAGCGGCGTCATGTCTCTGCAGATTTCAAGGGCGCCCTCTACGCCGTGTCCCCTGCAGCTGTGCAGGGTGGCAGCCTGGCTGCAGCCGCCTCTCTCTGCCTCCTTCCTGCTCTGGCACCGGGATTGCTGGCTGTGCCGAATCCCGCGGGGAGCAGCGTCTGTGAGGCCTTGTTAGCAGAGCTGAGGAAGGCAGCTGGCTTCAGCCACCCATGTGCCTGGGCCGCTGCTCCGGACCCCCTCCCCCAAGAGGGGCTGTCTAGCCATAGCCCCCACCCCTGCCCCGGCCCCTCCTGCGAGGTGATGTGCTAGGCACGCACGGCAGGCGCTGTACTTGAAGGGCGCAGCCTCCTCCCACCCCGCCAGGGGTTTGCCAGCCTTTGAAAGAGGAGTTTGGAGGGAATAGAGTTTGGCTGGAGGAGTGATTCTGATGGTGAGCCTCCAGGCGTCAGGGGCAACGTACGGGGAGAGGTTGGCAGTGCCCGTGTGCGGGGCCTGCGGGACCTGCCTGCCACCTGCACCCCAGCCAGTGACGCGCTCTCTCTTTGTCCTCTTCTCCCCCAGATGTGACGCCCACGCTGGCTGGGGGCTCTGAGCATGGCCGACACCATCTTCGGCAGCGGCAGCCACCAGTGGGTCTGCCCCAATGACCGGCAGCTCGCCCTGCGAGCCAAGTGAGTACCTCCGAGGCCCGGGCCGGCCTTCCCTTCCTTCGCCGTCGTGGTTCCCTCCTTCCTTTGGCAACATTCAGTCCCAGGGACCCAGAGAGAGAAGTTTGGAGACAAGTGCCTCTCGCGTAGACACCAGGCTCCACGCCCTGAGCTGGGCCCTGAACAGCCGTTCACGCATGTAACCGCCAGGCGGAATTTCTCTCCATTTCGCAGGCGCGGAGAGTGAGCCGGGGCCCCCTGCCAGGGCCAGGGCCACACCGGGACCCTCCTGACGCCCGCACCCGTGTTCTTTGTCACCACCGGCTGCCGGGAGCCAGGCCACTCCCTCCCCTTCTCTGTGAAAAGCATACATCCACCTGTCCCTGCGTCTCCAGCCCCTGAGCCCCTGGAGGCGGGGACTCCTGGGTTGCTGGAGGCCCATTGGTAATTGGGTGCCTGGCCCTGACAGAGGGACAGAGTGAACGAGGAGCCGAAACACACACACAGCCGGCGGGCGCCCAGGGCTGCTCCACGCTCCTGGCCCCTCCTGGCCCATCACAGTCCCTGCAGTTCCGGCTGCCCCCTCGGGGTCCTGGTTTTCCTGCTGCCTCTCCTCCTGGTGACCCCTCAGCTCCGTGCCGCTCAGACGGCCTCCGCCTGCTGTTCCCCTTTGGCTCAAGGCCAGGGGCTCGCCGATGCCCCTCCTGCCTTCCTGTTTCCTGTCTCTCCAGGGAGCTGGGGGGTCCCTGGTGTCCGATAAACCTAAGCGTCCCCTTCATCTGTCAAACTGTGTCAGTTACCAGAGCCGGCATTTCCCAAATGGGACCGAGTTCAAAAAATTTTTTTTTGCAATTAGATGTGAGGAGCCTGCAGGGACCCAGCACCGCAACATCAAAGGGGAGAGAAATGAGTCTGAAATGCCCGAGAAGAGCGCAGTCCTGCCCGAGTCGCAGGAATCTTTGCACAACAGTTAATTTGTCCTTCTCACCGGGTGGCTCAGCCCCCACAGGGGAAGTACCAGGAGGAAACCAGCCCCTCTCCCTGTCTCCGGATGCCAGGCAAGCTGTGTCCTGCCTGGCGGGATACGAGGAGGAGGCGGGGAGAGCTGTGTTCTGGGGCTAAGGGTGACCCCTCGCCACCCCTCCAGCATTTCCGTCAGTTCTCCCTGACCTTGTCTTGCACTCAGCAGCAGCCAGAGCTGTCGTGGCACCTTTTAGAGGAGCAAATGCTTTTATCTTCTCCCCGGGGTGTGCCGCCGTAATGCCAGGCTCCTTGTAATGCCAGGCTCCTTGTAATGCCAGCCTCCTTGTAATGTCAAGCTCCTGGTAATGCCTGGGTAAAGGAGGGTGCTACAGATCCCCACACCCAGGCACTGCACTGAGGGTCCCTCTGGGAAGCCTGGGGAAATTGCCTTTCCTCGCTCTCGCTCGGTCTGTCCTTCTGTCCTCCAGCCACCATCGGACATTTTCTGAACCCTGACGGTGTGCCTGGCACTGGTTGCACAGCAGCCAGCGAGACCACCATGGTCTCTCGTCTCCAGGCACTCATGGGGGGGCGTGAGCTCTGTACACACACTCACCCATGTGCTGTGACAGCGGGGGTGGGAGGGGTGCTGACTTCATTGGAGAGGCTTCCCTGAGGGTGTGATACTTGTGTTGATCCTGGAGGAGAGTTAAATGTTAGATGGGAATACAGGGGAGGGGCTTCTGGAAGAAGGAATGGCATGTGCAAAGGCCCTGGGGTAAAAGGACCATGAAGAGGACCTATCAGGAGGCCGGTGTTGAGGGGAATGCAGAGCGTGAGTGAGACGGTGAATGGGGTAAAGGGAAGACGGGGAGGTGGGCAGGGCCGGATGGGGCAGGGCCTGGTCCTCCAGGGATTTGCATTTGGAGGGGAGAACGAGGGTCCCACTTGCCTCAGCATAATGTTTCAGCCTCTGATGGCACATTGTTTTGACCGCAGTCCCACTGGGAAATGCTGGCTCTGGAACTGACACAGTTTGACAGATGAAGGGGACACTCAGGCTTATCTGACACCAGGGACACCCCCCTGCCACCCCCCAACCCCCCCACCCCACCCCCCGCCGCCAACTCCCTGGCGCTCTGCCCAGGCCTTATGAAAGCTGAGAGTGGACACTTTACCACCTTGGAGGGGATCAAGAAAAGCCTCCTGGTGAAGATCGTGTCCAAAAGCACAGGAGTGCACCGCGGGAAGGGGCTTAGCGAGGGGGGCACGCTCCCCAGGTGCAGGGCACAGCGTGAGCAAAGGCCTGGCGACAGCATGCAGCCCAGGGACGGGGGGAGCAGTTGTTGCTCATGCATACCACGTGAGGCCAGGGATTGGGGGCCCCCCCTCTGGGGACGTACCGATGGGTGCCGGGCACCCCTGGAGGTTCTTCCCCGGGGGCTGCAACCTGAATGGCCTCCTTTGGCTCTGAGGAGGGGCACCTCGGGGAACACGATGCTCAGGGACAGCCATGCCCATAGTGGGAACGGGGCCTGATGGGACAGGGCTAGGGAGCAGGGCAGGAATCAGTGAGAATGTAAATGGCTGGGGTTCAGTGGGTGAGCAGATAGAGGTGGGAAGGAAGGTTCGGAGGAGGCCCTGGGGGGGGCCTGGCAGGGCCGTTGGCAGCCGCTAGATGCTAGGTGGGAGCTCCCCTGGCCGGGAGGCCTGCCGACTCCTGACTTGCCTTTAGAAAGGTAGAGGCATCTAGCTGTGCCCGGCCTCTTCTCTCCTCTGAGGATGGGGAGGCCTGCTTTGCAGGCTGACACGAGGTCCAGAGGGGGTGTCTGCAGAGCCTCGGGCTGGCCCTGCGCCCGCCGGGACAGGTGGCGGTGCTGGTGCCCTCCCTCCTCTGACTGGTTCAGTTCCCCTTATTATACAGCCTCCTGACACCCACCTGCAGCCCCCAGCAGCGTGTCCCAGCACCGATGAGCCTGGCATCAACGAATGTGCGTGGAATAAATAGCTCTTGTCATTTTTAATTAAATAAATGTTTGTGCCGTTGATTGGGCATCTGTCTCCCCAGCATATTCTAGTCTTCACGGCGGAGACATTGCCATCTTGTCCATCTCTGTTCCCAGCAACTGGTACAGAATGTCTCGGAGAAGCTGGGACCCAGGGCAGGGAGTGGGGGGCTGGGCCGGCTGCTGCCACCCTCTCCCCACCTAGAAAAACAGAAAGGGTTTGAGTCCTTGCCCTCGGCCCTGGCCACAGCCACAGCCACAGGAGGTGTCACCGCAGCCCAGTGGAGTGGAGACGGCTGAGCCCCTGAGCCAGGCCCCAGCCACCTCTCCTTCTTGCCTGCCCCGGCCACCTCTCCTCTCATGCAGCTCCATTACCCTCCTGCCCTCAAACCCTGTCTTTTCAAAATGCTGTCAATCTCCTTTTATCCTCAAGGCTCATGCTAAACCTAATTACAGTTCTTTCCTATCCCTTCCTAAGCGCCATCTCACTGTCTTCTGTGATGCAGATCTAGGTTCTATTCTTCGTTTGCTCATCCTCTATGCTCCTCCCTCAAAACCTCACACACCATGGCCGTGGCCGTGGCGGTGGCCGTGGCCGTGGCCGTGGCTTCTCCATTTGTACAGCGGGCGCATTCCGTGCTCCCACCTCCCGGGGGCGCTGAGATGGTGCTGCCGTCTCTGTGAGTGGGTGGCAGCGCCGGCACGTGGAGCCTGGCAGCTCCCGTTCCCTGAACCCTTCCCCCTGTGGCTTTGGCAGGGTGTTGGGGTCTGCACCGGGGTGACCTCAGCCTGTGTTCTCTCCCGAGGCTGCAGACAGGCTGGTCTGTGCACACCTACCAGACCGAGAAGCAGAGGAAGAGCCAGTGCCTCAGCCCGGCCGAGGTGGAGGCCATCCTGCAGGTCATCCAGAGGGCCGAGCGGCTGGACGTCCAGGAGCAGCAGAGGGTCGGGTAAGGGCGCTCGGGCTGGGCCAGAGCAGACGGGAGGAGAGCAGGGCGCTCAGTGCCAGGCCAGGGGGCGGCCAGTCTGGCGCCCTCACCCCAGGGCTGGCTTTCCGCCCTGCAGTGCAGACGCGTAACCCAGCCCATCGAAGCCTCGGTATCCCCACCTGTAAGATGGGGATAGCGGCAGCTGTGTGGGCCCAGGCTGTGGGGGTGAGAGCGGTGCAGTGTTAGGGACTGCGCAGCTCTGCACACCGAAGGGCCCGCTGTGGCCCAGCAGCGAAGGGTTTCGGCGGAGGCCGACCCTGGATGGCCCCACCTGAGACTCCATCAGAAGACACTCCCCCGCTTGTGCTGAGCTCTTGTCCCGGCCTCGGCCTCCGGGCTCCAGAGTGGACGACCTCACAGTCCTCAGCCCGCTCTGTGGGGCCTTCTCTTGCTTGTTTCATTCCAAAAGCCGTTCGCAGTTCCTGGAGAATCCGAAGAGCACGCGTGGGAGAACAGACGCAGAGCGCTGCCCCGGGCCGAGCTCACTTGGTTCCGACCTCCGTGTGCTTCTTCTGTTTCTCCTTTTCTCCTAAATGTGTGACCATTGCAAAAAGTCGGACACGGTAGACACACCCGGTTCCAGACAGTGAAAGACCCCTGCGAGGACCCTGCGAGGACCCTGCTCTCCCAGCGGCTCCGTGTGCCTGGCTCAGTCACACGGCCTCTTACTGTCGTCGTCACAGGAGGGTTTAGATCAGACTCCTTATCTCGCTTTTCTCCCACCCGAGCTGGCTCCGGCCCTGGGCTGCCCCGGGCCCTGCAGGCGCTCGCAGACGCCCCAGCTGACGATCGACACCCAGGAGGGTGTGCGGAGAGCAGGGGGGTGTTCCCTGTGGGCTCCTCTGTGAGTAGGAAGCACATGTGCCCGCTCCTCCCTCTGGGCGGCCGCCTGTGCCTCCCTGGGCGGCTCCCATGGCCTGGCCCCTCTGCGAGCACCGGGTTTGCCAGGGGCACAGAGTGGCCCAGAAGGCAGTGCCTCGGGTTCACCGTCTCAGAAGGAGGAGGCGGGTGCATGCCGTGTGTTTCATGAGTGAGGAGGCAGGAGGTCGCACTGACGGGGTCCCCGAGAACAAGCGGGTCAGGCCAGGGCGGATGCTCCGGAGGCCCTGCAGGTCCTGGTAAGGGACCGTGACCCCGTGGAGGTCAGGAGTGCTGGCTAGAGGGCAAGGGGGGAGGCCGCCTCCTGCCCAGTCTGCTCTCCCTCGGCCCCAGGCAGAGTCTGGGAGCAGATCGAGTTGCCATGGGAGTGGGGTCTGGGTGGGGACCCAGGCTTCGCCTCTTAAGAGCTGTGTGACCCTGGCAAGTGACTCCACATCTCTGAACCTCAGTCTTCTCATCTTTAAAATGGGAAGAAATAGCATCTTCCTCACGGCGGCGGGGGTGGGGGGGGACGGGGGGGGGGGGTGTGACGATGAGAGGAGATAGTGTAGCCATACTCTGTCCTTCATTCACTCAGGAACTCTCACTGGGTGTCCACTGGGCACTGGCGATGCTGCTGCCAGCACAGCAGCAGTGGCTGCCCGCTTCACAGAGATCGCAGCACTGCTTATCGGTTGTCATGAAACGGGTCACAGTGGGCTGGGGGACCCCGAGGAGGGCACCTACCCCAGGCTCAGTGGGGTTCATGGAAGGCTCCCGGCACTCAGCTTCAGAGGTCAAAGACGGGCTCTTTCTCGCTCTCTCTCCTTCTGCTTCATCTGCCCTGTCGCTCAAACCAAAGGCCTCTGTGCCTTCCTGGGTCTCTCTTTCCTCCCCTCACCCGCAGGCCATCGAGGCTGCCTCTGAAACACAGCCCATCCCAGGCTCCACCTCCTTCCTCAACTCCCACCACCTGCTGCTGGCTTCTCCCCCCCCCCAACCCCCCCCCCCCAACACACACCCCTGTAATCCTGAGTGAGCTTTTAAAAATGTCACTCGGATCAAATCACTCCTCTGCTTAAACTCCTCAGTAGCTTCCCATTGACCTGAGAGAATAATCCAAGCTCCGCTTTGTGGCCGACAGAACCATGTAATCCGCCTTCCTCACCCCTCCCGCCTGCCTTCATCCCAGGCCCCCTGCCGGGTGCTCAGAGCACAGCCACCCTGGCCTTCTGATCATGCCGGGGTGCGGGCCTTCCTCACGGGGAACGTTCCAGGCTTCCCTCTGCCTCGGGCTTCCCCTCCCCAGCTCTGCACATGGTCCGGTCCTTGTCATCCTTCAGCTCTCAGCTCGGATGTCCTCAGAGAGGCCTCCCCGGGCCACATCTAACATGCCCCTGGCCCTGGGAGCCTCCCTCCCGCCCACTCACTTTATTTCATGGTGCTTTCCCCTCGGAAGGCAGTTTGCTTGTTCCTTGTGCCTGGACTTTCGCCCTTTATTGAGCATAAGTTCCGTGAGAGCAGGGGCCATGTCTGCCTCTGGCTTGTTTGCTACCATATTCCCAGCATCCAGCCCCTCATGGATGCTCAGTCAGTATTGGCGAGTAAGTGAATGATTAGGGGTTCTAGCCAGGGAAAGAGGCGGGCAGGGAACAGTGCCCCGGGCGAGGGAACAGCACCCAGGCTTGTGTAGGGTGGGGCCCGTGGCAGCCAGGTCCGGGCCGTGGTGGGGATGGAGACAGGAAGTCCCTCCCATCGGACTGTGTCCTGTGCTGCAGGCGGCTGGTGGAGCGGCTGGACACCATGAGGCACAACGTGATGGGGAACGGCCTGTCCCAGTGTCTGCTCTGTGGAGAGGTGCTGGGCTACCTGGGCAGCTCGTCCGTGTTCTGCAAAGACTGCAGGAAGGTAAGGCCCTGCTCTGGCCCTGCCACTCTGGCTGCCCAGCCTGGACCAGTTCTAGTGCTGGCCCAGCTCTGTGGCTTTGCATCCTGGCTCCCAGAAGTGCGTGTGTGCGCATGCGTGTGCGTGTGCATGTGTATGTGTGTGCGTGTGTGCATGCACATGCGTGTGTGTGTACACATGTGTAAGCACATGGTACCCTATGCTTCCTGGTGGGAAGGATTGGAGCCTGAAGGTCAGATGGCCTGGCTTCTAGGGCCAGCCCTGGGGAGTGGACCTCTGGGCCTCACAGGCCCAGGTAAGAATGAGGCTCTCCCACTAGCTGCATGGCCTCAGAACACTTGTTTAATCATGTGTTTTATCATCGTCCTGATCTGTAAAATGGGGACTATCATACTACGTGCCTTCTAGAGTTATGCGCGTTAAATATTATATGCAGAGCTCCTGAAGCCTTGTATGGCACAGTAAGTACTCAATAAACATTATTGGTTTTTATTCAGTAAATACAACTCTCCTCTGAGCCAAATCGTATGCTAGGATTGCACTTCCTACGCTATCGGTCTGCCTTTTCAGCCTGCTGTGGGCTAATCCTGGGTTAGGGGAATCCAAAAGGACACGTGTCCATAATAATCACTTCCCTCAGGTCCTGATGGTCAAAGTGGGAAGACAGTATTCTCTGGAGTGATGCTGACCATAGCGGGGACCAAGGTTTCCAGGACTAAGAGCAATCGGGAGGGCTGCCTGGAGGCGCTGGCTCCTGAAGCCTTCTGAGAGGCCGAGAGTAGAGTGAAGGGCATTCCGGGCACGGGAGAGCAGCACAGCAAAGACGTGGAGCTGGAAACGGGCTGGGCAAGCCCCGGGCTGTGAGGACGCAGGCCCGAGGGCAGGGAGAAGTGGACTGAAAGAAGAAAAAACACAGGACATGACATCAGATTTGACTTAGGAACAGGGGGAACTTAGAGGAGGGACAGAAGCAAGATCATGGGGACTTGAAGACATGGGGCAGAGCTGAGACCTTTGTGCAGTGGTTCTCAACCTGTGGGTCGCGACCCCTTTGGCGGTTGAACGACCCTTTCACAGGGGTCGCCTAAGACCATCCTGCATATCAGGTATTTACATGACGATTCATAACAGTAGCAACATGACAGTTATGAAGTAGCCACGAAAATAATGTTATGGTTGGGTCACAACGTGAGGAACTGTATTTACAGGGCCAGAAGGTTGAGAACCACTGCCTTTGTGGGAGAGGGGCCTTGTGAGAAGGAAGAGCTCTTGGGGGCCAAGCTGCATTGAGCAGAGTGGGCAGGTCCGCAGGGCCCCAGGCCCCTGGGAGATGATCAAAGATATCACAGGCACCCTGCAGCCACCGGCCAGGCCTGGATCCTTAGAGAACCAGGAGAGCCCCCGGCCAAGCGTTAGCCCCTATCGGGGCACTGGCGCCTGGGAGGGAAGGACCTCGTCATCCATTCTCTCAGCCAACCAACACGTCCTGGACGTGGACTCCTCCTGGTGCCGGCACAGGGTGCGGTGTGGAGACACAGACCCTGCCCTCTGGGACTGTGGGTAATTCATTACAGATGTGACTGGGTTACAGAGGCAGCCCTGGGGGCCTGAGAGAGCTCTAACAGGGCACTGGCCTAGCGGGGGGCATCCGGGTCCCTCCACTCTGGGTTCGCCAGTGACTGGGGTGCTTCTGTTTATTTCCATCTCCACTTCCTCCCCTTTTGCAACAGTGGGCAGGTGTGTCCCGGAGGCGTGTGGCCATGGGCAGGCTGCTGTGGCCATCCGACGTGGGGAGTATCCAGATCCAGGCCTGGGGGCAGGTCTGCAGGGGCTCCTGGCCACACGGAGGCGTCTCCTGCAGGAGCCCTGGTGGGTTTCAGCAGCCACAAGCTAACGAGTGTGCGGGTGGAACCCTTGATTCGGGCACTTGTGGCAGCCGCCCCTCAGTAATTGGGCCCGCACGCCCAGGCTGCCCGCCCTCATTAGGGGAGGGCTGTGGTGGGACGGGAGAGGGGCCGCTGGTTAATTAGAGAGGCCTGGCGCTCCTAATTGCTCAGGATCTGAGGCAGCCAGCTTGCGGTTTAATTGCGAGTCGGGTTTCACCAGCGATGGGAGGCGGGGCCGGGCTGCAGGAAAGCCCGCCCAGGCCCTGGATGGTGCTTTCACCGTGCAAGGGAAGCAATGGGATTTTTTTTCTGGCTTCAGACAAAATGTGCCTCGTGGTGAGGGTGCCGAGGAGGCTGCCCAGGAAGCGGCGGTCTCAGCGATGTGTGCGAGTCCCCGTGAGAGAGGACGAGGCAGCATCGCACTCTGCTCTAAGCTGGTCCAGCTGCGTGAGGGGTGGGTGTCCCTGCTCAGGATGGGGAGGTGCTGGAGGGAAGGCGCCAGCCAGAACCTGGCCCTGGCCCCACAGCCTGCTCGAGGCTCTGAGGAGGTATGGGAGGGGTCTCAGCCGAGACCCCCAGCAGGAAAGCTGGCAGTAACCTGAGGGCCACTGATCCCATCAAGGGGGCCCCACCCATTCAGTGCATTGCACCTACAGACCAGAAGCTGGGGGTGGGGGCAGGATCTGTGTTTAACAAGCCCCCCCAGGGGATTCCGATTCTCCTTAGTTTGAAAACGCCTGCTCTGAGGTCCCGGCACCAGGCCTGGCTCAGGTGGTGGTGAAGGACCTGGAGTGGCCGGCCTTCCCTCTGCTTCTCTGCCTCCCCTTGCCCTCCCCACACCCGCCCACGCACCACACAACCCCCACTCCCCTCACACTGCACCCCACCTTCACATACCACACCACACCTCCCACACCCCCACACACAACCCGCATCCCCCCACTCGCACGCCCCCTCCCCTCGGGCCGTGCTGGCCTTTCCAACCGTGAGCACCGGGGCCATGGTGTCCCTGTGTGTTAGGGTAGATGGTTCTCACCCTTCCTAATGCCATGGCCCTTTAATGCAGTTCCTCATGTGGTGGTGACCCCCAACCATAAAATTACTTTCGTTGCTACTTCATAACTGTAATGTTGCTACTGTTATGAATCGTCATGTAAATATCTGATATGCAGGATGTATTTTCATTGAACATAATTAAGGCATAGTGATTAATCAAAAAACAATATGTAATGATATATTCAATATGTGTTTTCCGATGGTCGTAGGCGACCCCTGTGAAAGGGTCGTTCGACCTCCAAAGGGGTCGTGACCCACAGGTTGAGAACTGCTGCTTTAGAGTCTACCAAGCACTTTCACCAACGTCACCCCGTTTGCTTCTCAGCACAAAGCTGTCGGGACTGGGGGTGAGGCTGTTTCCCAGTCACAGGTGGAAAATGGGTACAGTGGGCGCCCTGTGGCCTCCTGGGTCACCTGGCTGGGCAGTGGGGCACGGGGCCCCCCAGGGGTGCTTGCTGTGCTGCCCCACCGTTCCTTACCCGGTGTGCTTTTCCTTTCTGGGAGAAGCGGGGATATCTTCCTAAAGAACACAGGAGAGCTCAGCCGGTGTGGCTCAGTGGCTGAGCGTCGACCTATGAACGGGGAGGTCACGGTTCGATTCTCGGTCAGGGCCATGCCCGGGTTGCAGGCTCAGTCCCCAGGAGGGGACGTGCAGGAGGCGGCCGATCAATGATTCTCTCTCATCATTGATGTTTCTTTCTCTGTCTCCCTCTTTCTTCCTCTCTGAGATCAATAAAAATATGTTTAAAAAATAAAGAACACAGGAGGCGAAATATCTTACTCAATGAAATATTGAAAACTTTTCTCCTAAAGCCGGGAATAAGACAAGTTCTTTGTATCTTTATCGCCACTTCTACCCAGTGTTGTACTGGAGGCCCAGCCAGTGCAATCAGGCAAGAAAAAGAAACGAATGGCATAAGGATCAGAAACGAAGAGCTAAACTGTCCTTATGTGTGCCTTCGTAATTAGAGGGCCGGCCCGTGCACAGAGGGCCTCGGATTTGATTCCAGGTCAAGGGCATGGTACCTGGGTTACAGGTTCGATCCCCGGCCCCAGTTGGGGCCATGTGGAGGCAACCAATCGATGCATCTCTCACATCAATGTGTCTCTCTCCCTCCCTCCCTCTCTCTAATAATCAATGGGGAAAATGCCCTCGAGTGAGGATTAACAAAAACAAATAACTATCATTACTCACGAATAACATGATTATATAACTAGAAAATCTGAAAGAACCGAAATGCGAATGGCTAGCATTAGTAGGTGCCTTTAGCAAGGCTGTTGTGTACAATTTCAGTGTACAAGAAAATCGGTATTTCTATACACCTAAGACCAAAACGAGAGACATTAAGGCCAATTTATGGCAGAGGGAACATTGGTATGAGGTGGGTACAGAATGGTCTTTTGGATAAATAACGCGAGGTCATTGGATATCCGTATGGAAGAAATGTATCCTGACCTTTAGCTCACACCACATACCACATCGATTCTGCACTGATTTCAGATTTAAATGGGAAAAGTACGATGGTAAGAGACAGAGAGAAACGAACACAGGAGAAGTCCCTTTAAGGGCCAAGGTGTGGGTGATGGGTGATGCCTTTGAGGATCCCAGGAGCACCCAGAAGGCCCTGTCAGAGGCCGCCCTTCCCCCACACTCTGTCCAGTGCTGGCCGTGGTGGGCTGGCTGCCCTCCCCACCACTGGGGGTAAAAATCTCTTTCCCTGGACTTTCAGAAGCAGCCTGATGGTCTTAGGATGTTCCCACTCCAACAGCTAAACACTGGGGCTGGCTGGGCCCACCTCAGGGGCCCAGGGCCTGGGCGGTGGGAGCGTGGGCAGCCCTTTGGGAAGACTTTTCCTTCCTTCGGAGCCAACTCAGCTCCCTAGGCCCATGCGTGCAAATGAAACTTAACTTCATGAAGGGCTTGTCTCTGCAGAATTTTTTCATTCATTTCACGCTACAGCCAGGCCCTGGAGGTACTGTGATGAACAAGGTGGGCGGTGGCCTCACCCTCGTAATCATAAGAGCCAGTACTTCCCTTACTCACTCTGCTAGACGCTGCTC